TATGCCAGCATCCAGTTATGTCAACACCATTTGTTGAAGATGCTCTCTTTTTTCCATTGTATAATTTTAGATTCTTTGTCAAAAATCAGGTGTTCATAGGTGTGTGGGTTAATATCAGGGTTTTCAACTCTATTCCATTGGTCTACCTGTCTATTTTTGTGCCAATACCAAGCTGTTTTCAGGACTATAGCTCTGTAATAGAGCTTGAAGTCAAGGATCGTGATGCCTCCAGAAATTCTTTTATTGAACAGGGTTGCTTTGGCTATCCTGGGTTTTTTGGTTTTCCATATAAAGTTGAGTATTATGCTTTCAAGGTCTGTGAAGAATTGTGTTGGGATTTTGATGGGGATTGCATTGAATCTGTAGATTGCTTTTGGCAAGATTGCCATTTTTACTATGTTGATCCTACCTATCCAAAAACATGGGAGATCTTTCCATTTTCTGGTATCTTCTTTAATTTCTTTCTTTAATGGCAAGATTGACATTTTTACTATTTTGATCCTACCTATGCACAAGCATGGGAGATCTTTCCATTTTCTGGTATCTTCTTTAATTTCTTTCTTTAAAGACTCAAAGTTCTTACTAAACAGGCTTTTCACTTGTTTGGTTAATGTTACCCCAAAATATTTTATGTTGTTTGTGACTATTACAAAGGGTGATGTTTTCTGATTTCTTTCTCAGCCCATTTATCTTCTGTATATAGTAGGGCTACTGATTTTTGAGTTAATCTTGTATCCTGCCACTTTGCTGAAGGTATTTATCAGCTGTAGGAGTTCCCTGGTAGAATTTTTTGGGGTCACTTATGTAAACTATCATATCATTTACAAGTAGTAAAAGTTTGACTTCTTCCTTTACAATTTGTATCCCCTTGATCTCCTTTTGTTGTCTTATTGCTCTAGCAAGAACTTCAAGTACAATACTGAATTGTACAATTCCTGATTTTAGAGGAATCATGTTGAGTTTCTCTCCATTTAGTTTGATGTTGGCTGTTGATTTGCTGTAAGGTACTGCCCATCTTTTCTCCAGCGGCTTTAATGCTTCAGGTTTCATGTCTAGGTCTTTGATCCATTTGCAGTTAATTTTTTGTGCAAGGTGATAAATATTTGTCAAGTTTCATTCTTCTGCGTGTGGACACCTAGTTTTCCATTTATTCATGTTTTTTTCCGATTTTTTAAATGTATGTTCTTAGAGCTATAAAATTCCTTCATGGGGCTGCTTTCATGTCTCAGAGATTTTGTTGTGTTTTCATTTAGTTCCAGGATGTTTTTAATTTTTTAAAAAAATTTTTTTCTTTGGCCCATTAATCATTTAGTAATGAGTTCTTTCATCTCAACATATTTATAGATTTTTTTGCTATCAATTTTAAGTTGTATTGCAAAAAAATTGCCACAGTTGTGTTGTGGTGATTTGAATACAAATGGCTCCCATAGGCTCATATATTTGAATGCTTAGGCACTATTTGAAAGGAATAGGATTAAGAGGTATGGCCTTGGCCTTGGAGTAGATATGTTACTGGGGGTGGGCTTTGAGGTTTCCAAAGTCCATGCCAAGCCCAGTATCAGTACCCCTACTCTGTTTATGGATCAGAATATAGCTCTCAGCTACTTCTCCAGCACCATGCCTGCTTGCTGTGGTGCTCTCGGCCATAACTGTAGGTGGACCTCTCCTTTCCACCCACCAGTTCCCATATAACCAACACGGAGACTAAATACCAATTACAAATGCTCGGCCAATGGCTTAGGCCTATCACCAACCAGCTCCTGCAACTCAAACCAACCCATTTCTATTAATCTGTGTATTGCCACATGGATTGTGGCTTTACCTGTCCTCCAGCATATCTTGCTCCCTCTGTGTCTCCTAGCATTCCTCTGACTCTACCCCTCCTCATCCCAAAGTCCTTAGTCCATCTTTCTTGCCTATACTTCCGGCCCAGCTACCAGCCAATCAGTTTTTTATTAAACCAATTCAAGTGACAAATCTTCACAGTGTACAAAAGGATTATTCCACAGCACATGATCATAATGGATTAAGGCTCTGAAACTGAAAGCAAGTCCCCAGTTAATACTTTTTTAAAGATTTATTTATTTATTATGTGTATACAATGTTCTGCTGGTATGTACACCTGGACACCAGAAGAGGGCACCAGATCTCATTACAGATGGTTGTGAGCCACCATGTGGTTGCTGGGAATTGAACTCGGGACCTCTGGAAGTGTAGCCAGTGCTCTTAACCTCCGAGCCATCTCTCCAGCCCCAGTTAATACTTTCTTTTACAAGAGTTGTCTTGGTCATGGTGTCTCTTCACAGCAATAGAACAGTGACTAAGGTTGTCTTCAGACAATGGACTGGAACATCCAAGGAACCAACTGGAATCACCCACACACTGTTCCACACTCTGCAGGCATGTCCAATGCTCAGCTGGACTTGCACACACAACAGGGCAGGGTACCCTGTTGGTCACCCACCACCTCTCTCATGTAGCATGAACAGTGACCATTGTCCCCACCAAACACTGAGAACCCCAGCTAGATAACCACATCAGACTCCAAATCTATGACTGGAAACTATAAAAACAGGTTGATACGGAATAATTACTAAGAAATGTTATTATCTTAAAAACAAAGAAAGCAAGTTAGATGCAATGACACACACCTGAGTGCCAGTTGTGTGGGGGGTGGATAATCATTTGAGCCCACATGTTCAAGGTCAGCCTGGGCAATGTTATGCAAGAGTCTGCCTAGAAATGAGAGGGGGGGGAAATGGGAGGCAAACAAAGGGAAGTAGGGAAAGAAATAAAGAGAGGAGAGGGAAAAGGAGGGAAGAGAAGAAAACAAGGAAATAAGCAGGAGGCATCAAACACTCCTGAAATTGCCTCTCACCATGTCCTTTTTTTTTTTTTTTTTTTTTTTTCCTTCACATCCAAGTCCCCAGAAAGCACCCATTTTCTCTGGTATATCAATCTCTCAGTGATTCTCATCCTTTTCCTAAGAAGTTTCCTTGGAACCAAGTGTCACCTCTTTCCTCCCATATTCGTTTCTGGCAATATCTGGTCCCCCTTCAAATTTAGTACAATGTCCCTGCCTCCAGGAACCCTTCCAGAATCTGCAAGTGGTTGATGTCCCTTTTCTCCTTTGGCCTCCCTTAGACTCCACACACTGTACTATAGCTGTCTTATTCCAGGCTGCCTTCCCCATCTGCCTGGGAGCTGCCTGGGAGACCAGATTCCATGCTGACAAGTTCAGCTCCTCCTTGCTGACAAGGGAAGCCCAGAGTCCAGTGTCAGCCTAGAAGGTCATGTGCTCAGTAAGGGGATGGATGGGAAAGGGTATGAATGACAAAGGGCACTCTGCACTACAGCCTGGGAGAGCTTCAAACCCTCATAAGCACATAAACGAACCCAGCTCCTAAAAAAGAGAACAGAAGCAAGAAAACAAGCACAGTTTAAGTTAATAAGACGCTCTCATGTTTGCGCCTAAAGAAATGTGAGGCCCTTCACAAGCACCCTAGGAATCTCTTGATTCCTGATATATAGGCATGCAAATTCAACAGTCAAATGTGTTGTGTTCTTTTTGTAGTTCCAGAATGTTCTGAAATGAAAACTAAAGTGCCTTTAGTTACAGTCTCTGAGAGCCTCCTTGTTTTAAAGTTGCCTGTGCTATTCCAGATGAACAAGTCTGTTGTCCCCTTCTAAAACCACTCCATCTTTCTTTGCTTAGATGTGATCCTCATCAGGTATGCTTCTTATTTGACATTTCCAGGCAATGTTGGGAGTTGTAGTGCACTGAAGCACTCAAGCCAGGGAGGCAGAGAGGATGCAGGCCTGCAGTGGTGTGTGGGGGGTCCCAGAGCACACACTTAACCAGACCAAAGGGGTCTTCTGAAGGGGCCAATTTTTTTTCTTTCTTTTTCCCATTTTCTTTCCTTCTTTATTTCTGTCTTCTTTTTAAAATGTGTGTGTGTGTGTGTGTGTGTGTGTGTGTGTGTGTGTGTGTGTGTGTGTGTGTGGTGTATATGCACATGTGCATATAAGTGTGCATGCCTGTGCGCAGGCATGTGGAAGCCAGAAGACAATGTAAGGTGTCCTCTCTATCTTTCTCCAGTATATTCCTAAGGCAGAGTTTCTCTCTGAACTTGGAGTTAGGTTGGCAGTAATCCCTCCTGTCTCTGCCTGAACAACACAGAGGTTGTTCAGCTTTATGTGTGGTGTTTAAACTCAAATCCTTATGCTTACACCTGCAGCAGGAAAGTAGCTGACACACTAGGCAAGCCATCTACCAACTGAGCTGTGGGCCCAACAGGCCATTTTTCAGAACATCTAATGTGGGAGTGGTGGCTCACACCTATAATCTCAGCACTTGGGAGGTGGAGCAGGAAGGCTAGGAGCTTAAGACCAGCCTTGGCTACACAGTGAATTTGAGGCTAGCCTGGGATATCTGAGACAAGCTCAAAAGCAAATGAACAACACCCTATATAGTACAGTGGTCTCTCTTTTGTTTGCTGTGGTTTCGAGAGGCAGGTGATATGTAATATTCACAACAGAATGTGATTTGGGGGCAGGGAACATGACTGAGGGGTAAAGTGCCTGCTGCACAAGCATGAGGACCTGAGTTCAGACCCCAGTGCCACATAAAAGGCTGCTTGTGTCTGCAACCCCAGAGCTGGGGAGGCAGAGTCAAGTGAACTCCCAGAACTGACCAGCAGGATAGTCAGCTGAGTTGATGAGCTCCAGGTTCAGCGACTTTGTTTCGAGAAATATGAGGCTGACACCCCATAACCTCAGCTTCCACAAGCATATGTACTCACGTGCACTGGCACCCACATGCACATGCCAGAAGCCCACACAAAACACACACACACACACACACACACACACACACACACACAATACACACACATACATACACACACACACATCATACACACACATACACACACAATCATACACACACACACACACACACACACACACACACACAGAGAGAGAGAGAGAGAGAGACACCTCTCCCAACATACCTGTCCCCTCTGACATGGTTCTCTGTGCACTCAGCTTTTTGAGAACATTTGGACCAAATGCTCAATGTTTCAAAATAAAAGTGTAACAGAAACCAAAGCATTGAATTCAAAATTTCACCTTCTTTAGTTTGGTGACCAATTTTTCTGTTAGCTATGTAAGTTCCTAGCTACTGTGTCCCAGGCCCCTTTGAAACTCAGAAGAGGACAGGGAACTACAAGACTGACTGCTTACCCTATGGAAGAGGCTGCTGTTTCATCTTAAAATACGTGTTTTGTTTTGTTTGTTTGTTTGTTTGTTTGTTTTGGGGGGATTGAGACAGGGTTTCTCTGTGGCTTTGGAGCCTGTCCTGGAAATAGCTCTTGTAGACCAGGCTGGCCTCCAACTCACAGAGATCTGCCTGTCTCTGCCTCCCAAATGCTGAGGCTAAAGGCATGTGCCACCACCACCTGGCAAAATATGTGTATAATAAATCACTGTTAGGAGTTTTTAAAACCTTTCCAGGACCTGTGAAATAGAGTTTATGAATTCTGAAGTGGGAAAAAAGGCTTGAAGAAAAAACAAAAACAGCACAAGTGGTTCCAAGAAGCATCTCAAAGGGTTTTCCTCTTAATGTAAATGATCAAGTGAGCAGGCCAGACTGCAGCAGCTCTGCACTGCCCCCTGGTGGCAACACGATCCTGAGGCCTCTGCCCTACCCCTGTATTCATTCTGTGGCTCTTCTCCACCCCTGGTTTGCAGGTGCTCTTGGTGTGTCAAGATCAGAGAACCTCCAAATATTTCCTGGGGTGTCAGAAACTAACACATTGTTCCCATTTTGCTCTCTTCGGCCCAAATGAGGATGATAGATTCTCCCAACTGTGTAACTTCCTTTCTGTAGCAGACCCAGGTGCCTAATCTGACCATGCAAAACAACCAAAAGGTAATAGGGACAGCCTCCATGCTCCTTGCATAATCTTATCAATGTAAAACCATCCTTGGTAAAAGCTCCCCAACCTGAAGCCAGTGTTGAATGAAGGAGACTTAGCCTGAGAGAGGAAGAAGAGAGAACTAAACAGCCATTAGCCGGCAGGACAGAGTCCAGGGGCTCCCAGGTACCCTGAGATTGGAGTAAGAAGGAACGAACCTCTGTGGCAGGCAGAGTGGCTAAAGTTCTCCTAGGAAACAAATTCCTAAAGAAACACCTGAGCCTTGTTCAACCATCTTTACTTGGGGATAAATGTGGCCCTGCCTATGGACAGACAAGGCCAGATACTGTGAGAAAGAGCAAAACTGATGTGCCTGTAAGACATTGAAAGTGACAGAAACAGGCAGTCTATGGGGCCTCTGGTAGTGGATCAGTATTTATCCCTGCTCCAAATGATGGGACAGACTTTAAAGACTCCCCCACGGAAAGCCTCACCTTCCCTAGGGAGCAGAAAGGGGATGGGATAGGGGGTCAATGGGGAGCAGGGGAGGCAGGAAGGGAGAGGGAACTGGGATTGACATGTAAAACAAGATTGTTCTAATTTAAATTTTTAAAAAAAGAGAGGGCGGAAAAATAAACCAGAACCACGAAAGTGTGAGTTCAAGGCCAGCCTGGGCCATGGGAGACCCTTTCAAAAACATCCAAAAGAAAATGAGACACGACCCAAGCAGTAAGTCAGCCCAGAGTCCTATTTCCTAGCCCTTCCCCTCTGCACACACACTCAAGAGTTTCTCTTGATGGACTTAGCATTAATAACCTCTTATCAACTCTCCAATACTGGGGCTGGAAAATGACTCAGCAGTTAAGATCACTGGCTGTTGTTGCAGATGATCCAGTGCCTAGAACCCACAAGGCAGCTCACAACTATCCATATCTCCAATCCCAGGGGATCTGACACTCTCTTCTTAGCCTCCACAGGTACCACACACACATGTGGTGCACATATTTACATGCAGACAAACACTTACACAAATAAGTATTTTTTATCTCTAATATTGACTTTGTCCTGCTGAGACTGTCTCTTCTTCCCCAGTAGGGACAGGGCAGTGACATGATGAAAGATGGGGATGGGCAGTGTAGGGGACCTGCTTATGGAAAGTCCTAAAGACAATTTATATTTCAATAGCACTGATGACCGAAAAGAGGAGAAGCAAGGCACAAACAAACAAAACTTCCTAAAACTTGCAACTTAAAACTTTTGGGAAAATAATTCTGTAAATTTTTAGAAAGGGCTAGAGATGGCTCAGTGGTTAAGAGCATTTGTTGTTCTTGCAGAGGATTGAGGTTCAGTTCCCAGTACCCACATGGTGGCTCACAACTATCCATAATTCAAGTTCCAGAGGATCTGATGCCCTCTTTTACCTGAGAGTACCAGGCCCATTCAGGCAAAACACTCAAACATTTAAAAAGAAAAAAATTGAGACTAGTCCCCCAGGCTGACCTGGAATGTGGCTTAGTAATTATTAAGATATTTAAGAGAGCATTTGGGTGTAATACAGAGCCCCAATGTGTCTACTCATCCATCAAATCACGTAAACGAGAGGACACTCAGTGCATCTGTAACATGCCACTATCACCACTTTCTAATAATGAGACAAACAACCTCCTTCTTACACGGCTTTTATAAACTGCACCAGCCCCACAGTGAATGTCTTTTAGAAAACTTCACCTAAACCAAAGAGGAGTCCGAAAAACGAACCTGCAGCAGATGAGGGGAGAGTAGAGGCTGTGGTAGTTACACTGCCACCCTGTAAACTGTCCTTTGTCGTCTAGAATCCAAGCTCAAGGCTAGGAGGAGCAGCTGAGGTGGGTCCTACCTCCCCAGTGGAGGCCTGAGCTGCAACTCACGCTCCAGCTGCTCTGCAGTCAGGGTGCCCTGGATGGCTTCACAGCCAGGGTTGAACACAGAGTAGGCACTCTTCTCCCCCTCTTTCTTCTCCTCAGGATTCCGAGTCCCCACGTACATCCAATAGAACATAGACAGAACAAAATAAGCCAGGCCAAATTCCAGTTCCACAAACAGACCCAGGAGGACTAACCAGAGGAGAACCTTCAAGAAGGTGATGTTGGTCAGGAGAGACTGGCGTTGGGACGAAATCAGAGGGACCGCTGCACTCTGTGGGGGCTGCTGAGCTGCTTCCTAGGACACAGAAGCAAACAGAAGTAAGAATGGGAGTGTAATGGAGCTGACAGGATCCAAAGTAATTGGAAAGCGCTTTACTTACTGCTCTATGAAGGCTCCTGGCTCATTGATTTCTATTTCCTTGCCTTCCTCTCTAAAGCAATCATTGTCAGAGAGCTTAGTACCCCGGCCCAAACAAATCAACACTGATCAGCACTCAGCAAGATATGACCCCCAGAAACCTGCCAGCATTGAGATGGGATCCATTCATGGAGCCATTTCTGCTAACAAAACCTACTTTGTACCCCCAACAGAACCTGACCAGTAATTGATAACACAGCAGCTGCAATACTGGTCTCCCAGTCAGTCAACATACTTTTGCTGATTTGATTAGATGGGTTGAAATATCCAGGGTGACTCGGTTCTAAAATGGAGACCATTCCCAAAACAGGAACAAAAATCCCTTTCACATTTAAAAAACAAACCATTATGGCCATTACCATGCTACACGACACTACCCTATCCTCATCACTCATTCCCAGGTCTAGGAAGCATCTTCTAGACTCCTTGCTTCCTATCTCTCTCCAGTCCCCAAGCCAGTCTATGTACAACTGCTCGGTGAGTTCTCTAAATCACCCTTACCCTGCAGCTCACACACTGGCAGTAAAATCCTGCCTGCGCGTTAAAATCCAAAGTTCTTAGGTGGGAAGACCCAGTGCCAGATGCTAAGGGAGGCCCGTGGTGTGTAGGTGGCTTTAGGAGCTTTGCCTCCACTATTTTCTAAGTTTTTGAGAGTCTCTTTTTGATACATAGAAACATTTTTATTCTGTAGCCCAGTACATAGGTATAATGGAAACCAAAGTCAGCACTATCTGCCTGGAAAAGCTCCCCTGCATTCCAAATTATTCTTCAACTACTCTTAAAGGGAACAAGATCCTATGTTGATTTTACCATCCATGAATGGGTCATGACTTGCATCTTGAAAAACAAGGGCCTAAAAACTTCCTGCCCTTTTTATTTAATTAGATGCTCCGGGGAGGATGGTAGGGCAAAAGATGGGAGTCAGGAAGAGTTTTTTGTTTGTTTGTTTGTTTGTTTTTGTTTTTGTTTGGTTTTTTGAGACAGGGTTTCTCTGTGTAGCTTTGGCGCCTACCCTGGCACTCGCTCTGGAGACCAGGCTGGCCTCGAACTCACAGAGATCCGCCTGCCTCTGCCTCACGAGTGCTGGGATTAAAGGTGTGCGCCACCAATGCCCGGCTTGGGAGTCAGGAAGAGTTAACAGCAAACAAACTGTCAAAGGGGACAAATGTGGAGGTTCACATGGAAATCCCTCTAAGAACTGTGTCTTGTGCTTATTCATTTCAGTTTGCCTTTCCAACAACAGCCGTGTGGTTGTTCATCACTCATAGGCATGACTCAGGGAACACATTTCCATGCCTCCTGTAGAGCAAGCTGCTTCCTACCTGAGGAGGGCCCTTTCCCAAGGGAGACAAAGGCAGAGACAAACAAACATACAGAAAGTGAGATGGTGTGTGTGTGTGTGTGTGTGTGTGTGTGTGTGTGTGTGTCAGGTTGACACCAGGTGTCATTTCAATTGCTTTCCACATTTATTTTTTATACAGGGTTTCTCACTGACTTATCACCGATTAGGATAGACTGGCTATCCAAGAACTCTGGGAACCCTCCCATCTCTACTTCCTCAGTGCTAAGATTATAATTTTTATGTGGGTGCAGGAGATTGCACTCAGGTCCCCATGCTTGCATGAGCTATCTCCTTAACTCCAGGAAGAACATTTGAGCAACAGAACCATTTTGAGCCAAGGCTGGGAGGTCAGGAGTTGCAGACCAGGATGGAGAATGAACCCTCCGGGCTGAATTGCCATACTAGGGGCCTCCCTAGAATAGAGGGAAGGGAGCAAATTTCCATGCGATTCAACAGCTACAAGCCTTTAAATTGAAATATGACAGGGAACTACTTTCCTCCAAGAAAACTTGGGCAAAGGGAGATGAAGGGCATAGATATTTATCAGAGAATGCTGAAAAGAAGCTATTACAAAACAGAAGACTAAACAAATCTCCAATGGGCCTGATGTATAACACAATTACGAGGCAGCAATGGATTTAGACTTAGAAAATTGTAATAAGAATTTTTATAGTAGGGCAAACCCAGGAAGGCTAATAGTCAGTGAAAATGAACCTCAAGCCAAGTCCCTTAAGGCATGATGACTAGTGCCAGTCCCATCCCAGCATTTCCTCTCATCAATTTCTGCATTTTATAAAGGAAGCTTTTTCTTGAGTTGAGCTTCTCTAGGCTCAACTCAGTGATTTCATATTCCTTCAGAAATGAGACACATTCAAGAGTGCTTTGTGTGGGTTATATGTTGTCTTTAAATTGGAGCAGGGGAGGGGACTGGAAGAGATGGGGAGAGATGCATTCCTAAGCTGATACCTAATCAACAGTTACTCAAAGACAACTGGGCTGTACAAACTGCACCAAAGGAAATGGATGGTTGAGCAGCAGCTGTAAGTTGGAAACCACAATACTATAGAGAGAATATGGAGTCAAAACTTAGTAGCCATATGCTACTAAATTTCCTTAAACTAGATACCATGCAGTTGTTGGGGGCACTAGGTAAACCAAGATGCAAGGGCATCTCCTCAATGGAGGAAACAAAATATCTGCAATCCATTCAGAAAGCTGGGAGTAGATACTGTTAACGACCTGGTGACTTCTTGCTATCAGTAGAGGCAGACATAATCTAAATCCCCCAGAATGATTATCTCAGACTCTCCCTCCCTAGACCTTTATCTTTAGCTCGAAGTTAAAGGAACCCATCCTTAGGGGAGGTGTTATATGTACTCTAGAGCTTGCTGACATCTATGCTGTCTCAGAAACCACACCAGGTCCTAGGCCTTTAAGCAATAGAACCCATCTTCTCGGTCACACGTACTTCGTAAAGGAGTTTCTAAGTAGTCACATCTTAAGCTTTACTGTGTACCTGGAACTGGAATGATTGTTGCCTGGGAACCATTTTCCAAATTATAGTGTGTTTAAATATGTCTATAATAAACCAACTGGCATCAGACTTTCCAACATTTGATCCATGTTAATGGAGTCAATCTGAAGAGTTTTCATTCTCATCTCTTCAAGGTTCCTTTACCTTCTTGCCGTGACACCTGCAGGGATGCCCCTCATATAATAACAGACCACCTATAGGAAATAATATTTTGAGGGGTTTCCAGACAGAGTTTCTCTGTTTAACAGTTGCCTTAGCTCTGTAGACCAGGTTGGCCTCACACTTAAAAAAATCTGCCTGCCTCTGCCTCTTGAGTGCTGGTATTAAAGGTGTGTGCCACCACCACCCAGTTAGGAAATAATTTTAATGTGAGCAAGAAGCTGTTTCTGGTATAAATGTGAATTGAGGGTGGAGTGAGGGCTTTGTTTTTGACATGGTGTCTTGCTTATACAGCCCAGACCAGCTTCAAGTTTACAATCCTCCTGCCTCAGCCTCCTGAGTGCTATGATTATAGGCATGCACCACTACTCTACTATTTTATATTTTGGAGGGTGGTCCTGAAGATGGATCCTAGGGCCCTGAACATATTATATTTATTTATTCACCTATTCATTATCTTTTTTGGCAGTGCTGGAGGTCAGACTTAGTACATCATGAGTGTAAAAGAAGCACTCTGCCACTGAGCTGCAACTCCAGATCTTAAACATTTTTAAAATTTTGAGACAGGGTCAAAGTCGGGCCTTGAACTTGAAATACCATGGCCCGGTCTCCTAAGTAGCTAGGATTACAGGCCTTCACTGTTAAAGGAAATCCCCCCTCCAAAAAAATTCAGGGCCATAAAACAGGCCAAAGACTTCAAAACACCTGCCACTCATGGAATTCTGCAGAGCAGAGCAGCCCACCCCATAACACCCACGAGGGCCAGGAGGTCTCACCTGAGCCCAGAGGTTGTACAAACAAACTGACTCCAAAGAATCAAAAAGCTGTTTATCCAGAAACTGCATTCCTGGGTTTGGCAAAGCCACACTCTCCTCCTCCCTGGCTCTCCATGGCACGTTCCCCTGTACCCTCAGACAGGGTTCAGGTGTGCCAACTTCTTAGCCCACTAAAAGTCTGTTCTCACTGTTTAGAGGCCAAACTCAGTCTGTTCTCCCTTTTCTTCTGCTGACTTCCTGCAGCTGCCAGACCCAGCCATATGTATGTATTTGGTTCTTTTTATGCTAAGGCCTTGTGAATGCTGAAAAGCATGGTGTGCCGGTTCATTTCTTGTCAACTTGACCCAAACTACAGTCTTCTGGGAAGAAGGAATCTCAGCTGAGAAATAAGATTGTCTACAGGCAAGCCTATACTCTGTAAGCTAAAATAAGCTCTTTCCTTCCCAAGTGGCTTTTTGTTATAGTGCTTATCACAGTAACAGAAACCAAACTAGGACACAGATATTCTCCCCTGGAGTGTTTTATATTCCCACCCAGACATTCCCATCTCACAGGTTAAGTCTTCCTGCCAGGATACTCCTGAGTGAAAACTATGGGAAGACACGAAGAGATTCGAGTGGGCTATTACACTAATCCAACTTTTTCCACCTTGATCACCCACAATTAAAAATGAATGCTCTTCTCTAGTCTAAGAGCGGCATGCAAGGCCATGTACACCACCACAGGCAGTTACAGTGACCACACTTTGAAAAGTTCTGTAGCCGAACCCCATTTTTCCCCAGGCCGACCCTGCTTAACTTCAGAAATAGATTCATTCAGAGTGGTATGGCCATATTCTTAAACCTCCTCCAAATCCCATTTCTAAAACACAAGCTACCTGAGACACGGGCTATCTCTACCCAAAGTGTGAATAATGCCAGGCCTTAATCACTACCACTTTCGATCAATAACCAATTAGACCTTTCCCCCTCCATTAGCAGTGGACTACAACTGTTTGTACTATTAGCCCGCTGTGAACAACTCAAGCGTGGAGACAGATGCTTCTTTCTGCGAGGCCCCTAGACCTTCGCTTTCTCTTTGCAATTAGTTGTTGCATAGGACCGTGTCTGGGAAGAAAAAAGTCAAGAGGAAATGGCGTGTTCGGCCGCTGAGCAGGAGGAGAGAGAGCGCAAAGGATAGTGAAGGGCTTTGAGCTGCAGAGCCCGTGGGCGTGGCTTGTGCGGAGTAGAGTAGGGCGTGGCCCGGCGCGTAGGCGGAGCTTCGAGGTGCGGGCCTCGGTCCTCACCTGAGCCTGGTTGGGCCGGGCCCGCGTAATGGCAGGGCTTGCTTTCCACGTCAGGAAGCGTCTCAGCCAGCTCGGGGCTGTCTTTGGGGTCGCCGCTGCTGCGACGGCCTTCTCTGCTGAGGGCTGCTCGCCCTGGCTCGCTGTGGAGGGCTGGGCCACCAGTCCCGCCCGTTTGCGGGCCTCCCGGAACTCGGCTAACCTCTGTTCCATGGCACGCGCGCGCCCGGAGCAGGGGAGGAGGGTGGGGTTTTCCTCGGCCCCCCTGCGCCTGCGCAGGTGGCTCTCTGTTGCGCCTGCGCGTTGCGGTCGCGCCCGGCGGTAATTTCCCCAGGGATTGTGACGTCCGGTCGAAGGCTTGTAGCTGCGGCGCTTCTCCCAACGCTGGTGGACAGCGTGTGCATCTTCTCGGGCTGAACTAAGAAGGTTGTCGTGTGTTCTTGGCTCTTGCTTGGGCCGCAGAGCTGAGTTCTGACGTGTTTGCACCTCATCTCAGCACCCTGGTCCCCACCGTTCCGCCTCAGGTTAAGTGGAGAACGCCTGCTGGGAGCCGGTGGTCTGCACCACAGTTAGAAAGCCATCTCAGGACAAGGGAGGAGGGCTCAGGATTGTAAAAGCCAGAAGTAGGAGGGGGGCCGGTCCGAAACTGTGTCTTCTGTTCCTCACCGGACCTCCGCACTCATGAGCTCTCAGCAGGTAGTGAGCCTATGAAGAGCTAATGATGGGTGATACATTCTAGGGGGAGGGGGCGTCAGTTTAATATGTGGGCTCCGGTGGGTCAACCACACCCCAGTTGGTAGCACAGGAATGGGAATATGTGGGCTATTAAAAAAAAAAAAAAAGGACAAGGTGGGAGGGGATTAATGTAGAAGGAGTTAGGGAGAGGAGTGTACGTGAATTTGACCAAAATACATTGTATGCATGTGTGAGCGGTTCAAAAATTAAAAGTAAAATGGGCAGAACCTTTTTGGGGGGAGGAGGGGTTCGAGACAGGGTTTCTCTGTGGCTTTGGAGCTGTCCTGGAACTAGCTCTTGTAGACCAGGCTGGTCTAGAACTCACAGAGATCCACCTGCCTCTGCCTCCCGAATGCTGGGATTAAAGGTGTGTGCCACCAAACGCCCGGCAAAATGGGCAGATCTTAACTGCAGTCTCAGCTGTGCACTTGTGTAACCACCACTCAGGAGAGAACATTTCTAGAACTCTGGGTGTTCTTGTTCCTTCTCCCAACTATTATTTTACACATGCACACGCACACACACCCGCCAAATGCAATTTCAGATTTGACTGTTTACAGATTTTTAAAGCTCTAAGCTAAGTACCACTTGGAGAATTGGGTCTCAGATACTTTTGCATATTGCTGAGTTAGAGTCAAAAAGCTAGAAAATGGAGTTAACAAATGTTGTCTAGGTCTATATATTGAGTACTATACCAAGCATTAAGGATTAGGGCAAGAGGCAGAATGGCAGATCATAAATGAAACAAAGACCCTTTTTTTCTACATTCTAATCGGAAAGACGAGCAACAGACAAATAAGCAACTCCAATATTTAATGTCAAGTTCATCTTTAATATCAAGTGCTGATAAATGCTATGAAGCAAAGCAAAAAAAGAAAAGGAGATGGTGCAGTATGATCAGTGATCAAGGAGGACCTCTGAAAGAGGTCTGGAGGAGTGTTTAAGTCAGAAGACATGTCAAGTTCAGGTTTCTGAAACTGCAGCTAGTGTGCTTTGTAACCATAAGTCTTTACTCCAAGCCGCCTGAGTCCTGCAGCCAGGTGGGTGCTTTCTGCTAGGCGGCCTGAGTTCCGCCCACCGCTATGTTAAGGTCCCAAGTAACACAGAGAGACTTATATTTGTACCTACAAATGCTGCTTGGCCAATGACTAGGATTTCTCATCTGCTAGCTCAGTCTTAATTATCATAAATCTATATATTTTATAAGACTTATAGAGGACACCTTATGCTGGCACCCTCTCTTGCTAGAAGATCACATGGTGACTCCAGAGCAGAGTCCAGGAGGAAGAGAGAAGGGGCGACTTCCATCTTGCTCTTGCTTATATATGTCTTCCTGATATGCCACTTCCTGCCTGGATCACCACTTTACTACATTTTCCAGAATCCCCCTTGACTCCTAGTCCCGCCTAACTTGCTGCCTCATTGGCCAAACAGTACTTTATTTATCATCCAATAAAAAACACATACACAGAAGCACTTCCTCTATCAGTGCTTGACCTCAGAGAGCATCCTGAAGACCGGCAGACTACAACAGGAGGAGGAAGGGAGAGTGTCTTAGTCTGCTACCTGTTTTGGTTTGGTCTGTTGGTTAGGAGCTCAGTCTAAATCAGTTGCCTCCAATATTTTCTATCTCTGTATTCATTACCATCCTGGACAACCAGGTGCATGACACTGGGGCCCTCTCCTTTTCTGGAGGAAAGCTAAAACAGAAGGATAATGGAGTAAACATTGAAAGTTTGGGTTATGCCGAGGGTATGGGGTGCCTGTTGTATATCCAGATGAAGGCTATTGGGTAGTGAAGATTGAATTTAGAAGAAGTAATAAATGGAGACCTGCAATTTGAACTATTGGCTGTGTGTGATATTTAAGCACCAAGACGAAATTAACTAGATAACCACTGTGCACCGAATTAGAAATGGTAAGATTGGGGAAATGCGCCTGGTGTTGGTGGCACACAACTTTAATCCCAGCACTCGTGAAGCAGAGGCAGGTGGATCTCTGTGAGTTCGAGGCCAGCCTGGTCTCCAGAGCGAGTGCCAGGATAGGCTCCAAAGCTACACAGAGAAACCCTGTCTTGAAAAACCAAAAAAGATTGGGGAAATGGATTTTTGTTTTGTTTTGTAAGATTTTAAATTGTGTGTGTGTGTGTGTGTGTGTGTGTGTGTGTGTGTGTGTGTGTGTGTGTGTGTGTGTGTGTGCGGTTAGTTGACTGTGGAGACCAGAAGGAATGTTATGTGTAGCTGGGTGTGGGTTTTAGTAACTGAACTGTACTGTCTGAGAGCAGTAAGCACTCTTATGAGCCATTTCTCCAACCCCCAAAGTGGAATTTCTGTGCCAGTGTCATCTTGAAAAGCCATGAGAAATTTATTGCCTATCAGAAGTTAGTAGATCTCCTTCTCCCTAGAGACTGCAAATCCTTTGTGTTCATTGCATTTGTCACTTGACAACAACACTAAAATCTTGAAGCTGTGTTTATGGTCCACATCTAGAAGGTATATAGAATTAATAAATTGGCATTCATGGGCTGTTGTAATCAGTGTCCTTGATAGGAAATGTGGTGCCTTCTAAGGATTAAGTGAAGAGGCTTAATTAGGAAGGTGTGGCAGAATTAGGGAACCAATAAGGGATGATTGAGAGGATGAGATCTTTCCAGCATCTGGAGCTGAACAAGAGGAGACAAGGTTGCCTGTGAAGGAGCACAGAGTGGATAGAAAGAGTGAGGAAAGGATCACAGAGGCAAACTCAGACTTTGCAGGCAAGTACTGCCTTTGTCCCTTGTTCTATCTTGATTTGGTGACCCATTTTCCATCTGCTGTACGTTTTCATATTATGAATTTGTTTTGGTACTTTGTAAACTTCTTTAAGACCTTCTTGGAAGAAGTTGAAAGATGAGACAAATGAAAAGATGAAAGAGATGATCATGAAGAACAGCTCCTGCCAAGCCAGCTTCATTTCCTCTTCAGATAGACTGTGGGTTAGGGCGCTCAAGAGGTGGCTTAGGGGTTAAGCACACTTGCTGCTCTTGTAGAGGACTGGAGGTTGAATTTCCTCCTTCCACATCAGACTGCTCACAGCCACCTGTATCCCCAGCTCCAGGGAATCCAATGCCCTCTTCTTGACTCCTCGGGTACCCATATGAGCATGCATATACACAGACACACACAGACATATAATTAAAAATGATAATATGAATCTTGAAAAATAAAAGGGGTTGTGGGGCCAGGTGGTGGTGGTGCACAACTTTAATCCCAGCACACGGGAGGCAGAGGCAGGCAGATTGTGAGTTCAAGGCTATCCTAGTCTACAGAGTTCCAGGACAGGCTCCAAAGCTACAGAGAAACCCTGTCTCAAAAAACAAAGGGGGGGGGGTTTCAGATTGTGGGAGAGTCACTCTGAGGTTTAGAACACTTGTTATTCTTACAAAGGACCTGGGTTTGTTTCCCAGAACCTACACAGTAGTACACAACCATCTGTAACTCCAGTTTCAGGATACCCAGCATCTTCTTCTGACTTTCTTGGGCACCAGGCACACATATGGTGCATGTATGTACATGCAGTCAAACAATCATAAAAATGAACCTTTATATTTTTTTAAAAAAGAAGTATCCTTAAAATGCATTTAGTGTGTGATTTTCATGAATCTACTTTCCCTTGGGAAATCAGAGGGATGAGCGGCCCTCACTACTGTCGCCCAGTCACTGAAGCCAGCCAGGGTCCTGATAAGTTTCCTATAATACATAGAACTAGCCTGGACAGCCAAGAAGTATTTGGTCCAATATGCTAATTGTTCCAGGGTTGAAAACCCACTTAAGCAGAGAGAGTGATGGTCTCTTGAAGCCTGGGCCTAAAAAAGTGTATGTATGTATACATATTGTGTATGTGTATATCTAAACATATGTGTGTGCCCATACAAAAAAAAACCCACCTTATGCAATCCTATGTCCAGTGTCACAAAACCAGGCCACATTCAGGTTGAGAGACAAATTCTACCTTTAGTGGAATGCCCTACAAAGAATGTACAAGTATCTGTTATTTACCACAAAACCAGATGCTTTGGAGTAGGCCAAGAAAAGCTGATTCTAATTTTATTTATCTGTACATACAAAATGAAATATCACATATATGTGTGTATGTGTAAGTTATAAATAATAATATACCCATATGCCCCGTGGCCCTATGGTATGTTTTGAATGTAGACTATAGTTATATACTCACTCTATATCCATACCATTAGAGTCTATGTACTTCTCCATTCTTTTGTTTTTAAACTTATTATTTTTTAAATATGTGTATGTGAATGGATCTCTCTCTCTCTCTCTCTCTCTGTGTGTGTGTGTGTGTGTGTGTGTGTGTGTGTGTGTGTGTTTATGTGTATATAAGTACAGGTGCCTACCGAGGCCAGATCCCCAAGATCTGGAGTTACTTTGTAAGCTGCCTGATGTGGGTGCTAGAAACTGAACCCATATCTTCTGCAAAGGTAGCATGTACTCTTAATTCTCTCC